AACTTTGTGCATTAGCACACATTCCTTGCATGAGTTGGGCAAGCTAAAGCTCTCTGGTTCACTTTTTTCTCTCCTTAGAGCATTAAATGAGGGCTGGGGATTTAGCTCAGCGGCATAAGTACCTGCCTTGCAAGCAGGCAGTCGTGAGTTCGATCCCTGGTACCGATGATTAAGAAAAAAAAAGGAAAAAATAAAAGCATTAAATAATGTAAAAGTACTATCTTAGCTTGAGCTATTATATAAAAAGCAGAGTGGATGACTTCGATAGCATTTATTTCTACAGTTATGAAGGCTGGGAAATGTGAGACCAATTACTTTGCAGTTTGGTCCCTGGTGTTGGCTTGCTTCCTAGCTTGCAAGGGCTACCTTCCTGCTATATCCTCACAGGGCACAGTGGTCACCTCTTTGACTTTTTGTCATAGAAAGGCCTCATCTCCTAACACTACACTGGGGAGTAGAGCTTAGACATGACATTGGAGAATAGAAGACAAATGTTTTGTCATAGTTGTTGCCAAGTTCGGAGTGACTAGCCAATAAATGTTAGCCACTATTCTCATTTCAAAGTGCAGTTCCAGTCTGACAGTCTTAATTGTGCCACAGTTCGTTCTTTTTACTGTTTAGTTTATGCTGAGACCACAGCTGTAATTTAATCAAAGGACTGCTAAGTGTTGAACGTGTCCCTTAAAGTGCTGTCATTAAAACTTGATAACATTCACCTCAAAGCTGGACCAACTCCAATTCCAAAAGCTGAGATTCTTCTGGTACTACTGTTAACTTCCTCCCTTCATCTTGATCCTTCCATCTTGAATAAGAGGCAGAAATGTACCTGAGCTAGGGATGACGGCTCACAGTCGAGAGTTTTAATGTTAACTTTTATTAAAGGTAAAAAAAGAAACATTCTACGTAATAAGTTTGGGTCAAGTAAAAGGAAAAGAAGTGTACTTCGCAGCATGGCGGTGGGCCATCCAAGCAAGAAAACAGCTTCAAAAAACAGATCAGTTTTTTTGTTCATTTGCTTTTTTTGACTTTTCAGATAGGATCTCACTATGTAGCACAGGCCAGCCTTCAACTCTGCAGCCTCGTTTGGCCTCAGACTCACAATAATCGTCCTGCCTCAGCCTCCTGAATGCTGGGATTACAGATACAGTCAGTCTTAATGATTGCTGTGCTAAGCAAAAATTGGAAACAGTCACACAAAATAGCAATGCAATAACTAGAAAAAATGCAAATAAAGATTTTAAGTATACAGGTAAAAATGCAGGCTATTGCAATAGGCTTAAGGAATTAGGTCTGTAGCTCTGGTAGAGCACTTCTCTAACATGTGTGATGTTCTGGTTCAATCCCCAGTACCATGAAGAAACAAACCTTAAGTCTTTCCTGTTAGAAAACCAAAGTGAAACTGTATTCTCTAATATAACAGACTTTATGAAGTGCAGTCTCTAGGTTATCAGGACCACTAGTGGTATAGCTCAGTTGCACACTAGTCTAGCATGTAGGAGGCCCCATTTATTGTCTGTGAGGGAGTAATTTGGCCTGTGAAGGAAATACCAGTATATGGATACAAGTCTCACACTGGAATATCAAACAGTTGCTCTATCTTAAAGGTCCAGCGCATGCTGGCAAGATTAATAAGATACGCAAAAGTGCCTGTTGCACCACACATGGCGCTCATATACAGACCTCACCTGTGTTTAATGTGGTTTAATTATTCTCTAACACACTTGCAAAATGGTGCAAAGTCACCCTGGCACTTTTTCCCTCAGCTGTTCTCTAGTAAGCTGGTTTTCTCTGTACGTTTTTTTGGAGGACATATTTTGGGAGTTCCTCTACCCTCGTAGTTATATGTAACCTTTACAGCCCAGGTTATTGTCATTACCTCTGATTTAGACCCATTATGGAACAGTTGTTGTGAGGTAGCATTGAGCTACCCTGAATGGTAAGAAGCACAATGCTAAACCCCCCCTGGCAAATTCACTAGGGATTCACTGTTCCTATCAGAGAGACCCAGTAATGATTCTGCTACATGTTAAGTTGACCTGGCCTACACTCCTACACCTGTTTATGAAAACATGAGGGATTGCAAGGCCCCTTCAGGACATACTAGCTCTGTAGCATTGCTAAAATGGTGGCCTGTCATAAACACTTGGAGATTATACTGGTTTCCTTTTAACTCCTCGCTAGCCAACATAGCATATGATTTTAGACCCAGGTATAATTTAAGAAATTTCTCACCAGGAGGGGCGCATATACCTGTAATCCCAGCACTCTGGAAGGCTGAAGCGTGAAGACTGCAAGTTTGAGCCCAACCTGGACAAAGTTAGTGAGACCCTGTCTCAAAAAATAAGGTCTGAGGATGTAACTTAGTATAAAGGCCCTGGGCTCAATCCCCAGCACCAAAAAATAAATAAAATTTTAAAAACCTATTCTCTTTCTCTTTTCTCTTTTACAGTACACATGTGCCCCTTCACACCAAGTACATACCAATATGCAGTTTTATGGAGGGCTCCCCAGAAGACAGGTGCTTCTGGCCACTCCACAAAAGCAACACCCTTCTCAAAATTTCCTCCAAAATTGGGTTTTGAAGGGGCTAGGGGTTTAGCTCAGCGGCATAAGCACCTGCCTTGCAAGCAGGCGGTCGTGAGTTCGATCCCCGGTACCGATAAAAATGAAAAAGACAAAAAAAAAAAAAAAAAAAAAAAAAAAAAAAAAAAAATTGGGTTTTGATAGAGCCTCTCTCTAGACAGGAGACAAATGAGTATGTTTTTATTTAATGCCTGTAGTGTGCCAAGAGCTGTGCATAAAGCTGTACAGCAAAGGTATCATGCAAAGCTTGTACTGTCTAACCAAGAATGCATATGAACTAGGAATTACATGGTAACTAGAACACTAAGATTAGGAACAGGTTGCTTAGGGAACACCACTGCAGCAAAACAGGAGGGCTTCTTGGAGAAAGAAGAGTTCTAGAGGTAGCTGTCTGACTTGGTAACAAGAAGACATTTACACTGCTGAGATTTTAAACAGAAAAGAAACAAAAGGCTGAGAAAGGTAGATGTAATGAATTTGGCTTAGATGTTAGAGCCCACAAATGAAACCAAGGAGTTCAAGAGCAAGAATAAAATGAGATAAAACAAAATCAAACCCATATGAAGGGGCCAGGCATGGTACGGCACACGCCTGCAATCCTTGCACTCTGGAGGCTGTGACTATGAGTTAAAGAGGTCAGCCTGGGTTACATAGTGAGTTAAAGGCCAGTCTAAGCTACAAGACTAGGTCAAAAACCAAACCAAACAAAACAAAAAATCCAGATGAAAGTTCCTTGAATTCTTACAGGAAACATGTTCCACAGTACCAGAAAGAAGAGACTTACGGGGCTGGGGATTTAGCTCAGCGGCATAAGCACCTGCGTTGCAAGCAGGTGGTCGTGAGTTCAATCCCTGGTACTGATAAAAAGTTAAAAGTTAAAAAAAAAAAAGACTTACATGTGTGCCACCGGGTTACCAGAAAGGATGGCTGATCCCCTCAATAACCCAGACTAAGGATTTCTCTTAATGGAAACACTGATCCAATCTTTTCCTTTCATGGCCCCAACTTTAGGGTCTACACTTTATATTCTTCAGCTATTTTACACATCACATCTCTTACACTGGTTTCCTAAGACCTAGTGACTTTTGTTTAATCCTAAAACCTAATGGTTTATTTTGGTACCAGGGATTGAAGACACATACACCGCTGAGCTAAATCCCTGGCCCCTATAATGGTTTATTTTAAAGTTGAGGACTCTTCAGGCTTGTCCACAATCTTCTGATTATTCAGTGTTCCCAACCTATTGCAATGCTTACCTTGAAACCCTTGCCTTTTCTTTTTTTTTTTTTTTTTTTTGGTACCAGGGAGCAAACTCATTTTTTGTGTGTATAACTTTTTATTTTAAAGAGAATGAAACCAAGCAAAATAAAACAATAAAGCCAATCAAAAGTGTGACACAGGGTTTCAAAATAAAATAACAGGAAATCAACAATGGCTAATCATGTCTCTTCTTGTCTTCACCTTTCTTTCCTAAGGTGTAGGTGGAGTCCTCTACCAGCCAGCAGGCTGGGAAAGTGAAATAAGGGAGGTCATTTCAGAACAGAAGTTGGCCAGGGAAGTGTCCCTGAGCTCAGGCTGCAAATGGAATAGATGCCATCTGTCAGGTAACTAGACAGCTCAGAAAAACTCTGACTCCATTTGGAATAAGAAGTCACAAAAGGTCTTAAAACATGTAACATCACTACAGACCCTTAATATTTCATTGTCTAAATTGTCAAAAGTCAACCAGAGGAACTTTTGACGGGGACAAAAGCTGGTGGCTCTGGGAAGTCGAGGCTGAGGGTGGTTATGGCACCCAGGCAAAATCTGGAGGAACATTCAAAGCCACTGAGAGCAAAAGGACACGACAGAATTATCCCCAGTCCTGCAGTTGAGTCCCACTTAAGATTCTTGCCAGTAAGAAAATCCTACTTCGTCACTCATTTCTTGCTGTTGAGAAAAACTCCCAGGTAAACAAAACAACAAAAACCCAAAACAAGACAGGATACAACTGCTGGGGCCCAGATAAAGAGCTAGGGGTGTGTGTGGGTCTAAAATCCGCGGATTCTTCGCGCCTCCAGAAACCACGACCTTATCCCCGCCACCTAAAATCCCCAGATCCCACCTCTGGCACACCCCTCCCCGGCCAGGGAACACCCTACCCTCCGCATCAGCACCTCCTCTTTGCCTTGGTCCAAGTAATTCCCAGACGGCTACCTTGGAACGCTCCCTCCCTCGCCACAAGAATCCCCAGACCCACTCCAGGGACACTATTCCCTCACTCAGGGAATCGCTAGCGCCACGAATCCCCAGACCACCTGTCCCAGGACCCACCCGGGCCCACAGAACACTAGCTTCTGGGCAACCCGCACCCGCCCCCACCTTCCGTGCCCTTACTCCACTGCCAGTCTGGACTAGCGCCTGCGCACTGAGAGCCACGCGGGGGCGGGGCGGGCTCAGACTCCGCCCCCAGCGCGGTCCATAAAAACGCGGAGAGCTTTGCTTCACTCTGCTGGTTGAGCACCAGAGAACGGTTACAGAGGCGGTAGAGGCAGGATGAGTGCCGGCTCGGACCCCGTAGTCATCGTCTCGGCGGCGCGGACTGCCATAGGTGAGTAGCCAGCAGGTTCAGATCGGGATTGGAGCTCCCTGCCCTGAGGGCCAGATCAGCTTGGTGTGGGATAGGGTTGGGCAAAGGACCTGCCCGGGACCCTGGGGACCCTAGAGTCCCTGGCCTCGCCCTTTTGTCTGCCCCGCCCCCTATTCGCCTAATTCTGCCCGCCCCCGCTCCACCCCTTGCCCGCGGATTGGCTCTCCGCGATAGAGCAACTGAGGGCTCAGGCTCTCCCATTGGCTGGTGTAGGGAGGCATCCTCTGGCGATGTCCTCTAATTGGCCGAACTGGGACGCGCCATCAGTCGGTCTGGGCTGACTACAAGAGGTCAGCAATCAGTTTCCCGCAGGGTCTGGGCTGTTGCAACTGCTAACGGGATGGCCTCCATTAGTGCCGCAGTTTGCAAATCTTTGGCTCACTAGAGCACCTGCGGCTTTCGTTTGGGAACGATGCGGCCGCGTCCACACTCTCGGTGGCCTTACCAAAAGGCGCCCCATCCCGCCGCCCCCGGGCGCGTGGCGGCTTCTGAAGTGTCTCCGAGGTTCACGCGTCCCTTGTCCCCACCATTCTCTTGTAGGCTCTTTCAATGGTGCTTTATCTACTGTGCCTGTCCACGACCTGGGCTCAGCTGTCATCAAAGAAGTTCTGAAAAGGGCCACACTAGCTCCGGAAGACGTGTCCGAGGTCATATTTGGACATGTTTTGTCAGCAGGTAACTCCTCAGTGAACCAGGAAAGGTCAGGTTTATTAGGAAGAGCCTGTTCTCCCCTCCTCCCCACGTTGCACACCCAGGCGCACAACCTACGAACAAACGCACACGCGCGTCTATTTCCATATATTTGCTTAGCTTGTCCCAGCTGCTGCCTCTCTTCCCGGCCATTGGTAATTTCATGTGTTCAACATTTTTCCTGAATGATTCCACAACACTGTTTAGAAGCAGGGCCTCCCTGCTGCATCAGAGTGTATACATGTCTCTGTCTTCCTCTAAAATGTCATACATCTTATGGAGACTTACTGAAGTCGTCCTATGTGCCCAGCACCGTGTTAGGACCCTGTTGCAGGGGTGGTTGGAACAACAAAGGTGATGTTCTTACCCACTTAGGACACACTTCAGAACTGAAGAGGTAGGTTACCCATCTTTGACAGGATTTTGCGCAATCTCCCGATTACTTCCGAGCTAAGGGACTTCTGACCTTTGCTTGTTGTTAATTGTTAATAAAACTAATTTGGGGTGTAGTTCAGTGTCAAGTGCATGGTCACTGTGTTCATGGCCCACTCCCAGCATCAAAAATTTTAAAAAAGAGAAAGAAAGAACAAAGAAAAAAATAAAACAACAGGAAAAAAAAAAAAAACTAATTTTATCACCAGGAAACTGGACCTTAACAGCAGGAGGAACCAACACACTTTTGAGCTTTTGTGTCTTTGGCCTAGATTTCAGATATGCAGCCTGTTTAGAGTTTACAGCTGATTGCAAAATTAGTTTCTTAGAGTGAGTGACAGTGTGCCTTGGAGCATAAAGAGCAGGAGCCAAGGTGGCTGTCTCTGAGGAAGCTCTCAGGTTAAGTGACATTTTCAAGGAATATCCTTTCTGTTCTCCAGCCTTTTTGTTCTTTTACAAAGAAAATGGGCTGTTTAGATGGGTTCTTTTGTACTCTCTAGGGGGACATCTTCCACTTTTTTTGAGGCTCACAGTTTTTCGACCCCTCACATATGCTTAGACACTTGTATGGGCCCTGGATCTTATCACTTCTACAAATCAGCTCTGTGTTGACCTAGGAGTCTATTTACTCTCTAGGTCGATTTTGTACTTTGGTTTCTTATTTGTTTTGAGACCTTGAAGTTTTATCAAGCCCTGACCCATGGTAGATTGTTCAGGTCCTGGACCTTATGGACATGCTCAGAGAGTATATATATTTGGGGGTGGAGGGAATCAAACTCAGGACCTTGAACTTGCCAGGCAGGCACTTATGTTGCTGAGTTGTGCCTCGAGCCCTAGAGTATATTAAGCAAAAATTTGAAAACACAAGTTCATGTGTATTTTCTCTATAGCTAATGATTAAGAAAATGTTAGGTTTTTTTTTTTTAATCGGTACCAGGGATCAAACTCATGACTACACGCTTGCAAGGCAGGCGCCTATGCCTCTGAGCTAAATCCCCAGCCCCAGTGATTAAAAAAATGAAGGAAAAAAAGAAAAATATCATCACATCTTTGCTTTTCTTTTTTTGGTGCTTTTGAGACAAGATCTCCCAGTGTAATTCAGGCTGGTCTTAAACTCACCATGTAGCCCAGACTGGTCTCAAACTTACAGCAGCCGTCTTGCTCAGCCTCCTCAATGCTGGGATTACAGGTGTGCACCATCATGCCTACCCTCTTTGCTTTTCAAGTAGCCCCCCACCCTCATATCTCTAGGCCTGCTAATGTCTGACTTTCTATGTAGTAGTCTTGTTCAGTCAATTAGAGTAATATATACTCTAATTAATTGTATTAATAGTTGATAAACCAACTTCTGTCCTTACCTCACCTGAGACCTGACCAAAATACAAGTTTAATGTTCCTTATTAGAAATGCTTGGAGCCAGGTGTGGTGGTACACTCCTACAGTCTTAGCATTTGGAAGGCTGATGTAAGATCTCTGTGAGTTCAAAGCCAGCCTGAGCTGCAGTGAGACCTTATCTCAAAAAATCCAAAAAGAAAGAAAAAATACTTGGGACCAGAAGTGTTTTACATTTTGGATTTTAGTTTTTCTTTCTCTGTTTTTCTTTGAGATTTTGAAATATTTATATATACATAATGAGATATCTTGGGCATGGACCCAAGTTTGAACTCAATATTTATGTTCAATATACATCTTAAACACAGAGACTGAAGGTAATTTTATATAATATTTTTAATAATTCTGTGCATGAAACTAAAGGACTGAGAAGGGTCTTTCTTCCCTTGAGAATACCAAATATATGTGCATTTTGACCTCAACCCATTACAAAATGTCAGGTTTGGAATTTACTGTGGCATGTAATCAATTTTATACTCAATCAATTTTATATTTGGAGTATCCAGCTTTTCTGAATAGACTTAGTCAACCTGTATTTTCCTTATGATTGTGTAATTCTTCCTAATTCTCCTTTCTCAACTTGTCCTTAAAGTCTTGTGAGAAGCCATAAGACTTTGTCTCAAATTAAAAGGACTAGTAGAACATTTGTGGTACAAGGCCCTGAGATCAATCTCCAACACTGGAGAGAAAGCAAAAGATGCCTATAGTGAGATTTGAGAGGTCAGATAATGAAGTCATAATCTGAAGAACAGTGAGTAATTGAACAAGGTGTAGCCTCCACAATCATGTAACAAATATTTACTGTGCACTGACTATACAAGGCACTATTCTACCACGTTGTCTTTTTTTTTTTTTTTTTTGAACTAGGGACTGAATTCACAACCTTGAGCTTGCCAGGCAGCACTTATCCCACTGGGCTAAATCCCCAGCATCCAAGGCACTATTCTAGTATCTAGGAATAAACGTTATCTATGTGAGATAGAAACCTTCTTTGGTTGAAGGGTGGGTAGGGGGTGAAAAAAAAAAGAGGAATCAAGATACATGTTATACAGATACAAATTTCCTGGAATGAATGTGATCATTATATACCTGAAATGTACTAATAAACTTAGTTTAAAAAGAAGGATAATTCTTACTTTGTGGAGCTTACATTCTGGTATTGCTTTTGGCTGTACTGGAGTGATTACACTGATCTGCTGATCTACATTTCCCTTTTATTTTCCAGTAGTTTGTCTTTTGGGACGGGATCTTGCTATGTAGTCAGGCTGGCTTCAAACTTGTGGTGATCCTCCCAAGCACCCCAGCAGCCTTTTTTATTTTGAGACAGAGTCTTGGTAAATTGCCTGGGATAAACAGAAACTTTGATCCTCCTGCTTCAGCCTCAAAGTGATGGGATTACAGTAGTGCACCCATGATGGCCAGCTTTAACACTCATTTCTTCATCCTGACTACTTTTAGGATGGGGTATATTTTAAAAATCCACAAATTTTTAAAGAAGAGTTATTTACTTGAATGCATATGTAATTTATTGCAGTTTAAAAAGCTAGAATCTTGGGGCTGGAGATTTAGCTCAGCGGCATAAGCGCCTGCCTTGCAAGTGTGCGGTCATGAGTACCCTGGTACCAATAAAAATGAAAAAGCAAAAAAAAAAAAAAGCTGGAATCTTACATAATAGTATTGTCTTTATTAGCTCACTTCTTGTGAGTTCAATTCAGTCTGTATATTGACACTATCTTTTTAATCATTTTCCCTGGATAATTTTTTTTTTTTTTTTTTTTGGTACTGAGGATCGAACTCACAACCTCTCCCTTGCCAGGCAGGCACTTAGGCCACTGAGCTAAATCCCTGGCCCCAAAACTTAAGAAACTTTTGCTGAGGGGTACCGGGGATCAAACTCACAACTGTGTGCTTGCAAGGTGGGCGCTTATGCTACTGAGCTAAATCCCCAGCCCTATAATCTCTAAATTTTTGTGTGTGACACATTTGTTAATTTTTTTTTAAACAAACCCATTAATAATGCTAGGTAGATGTATCTAAGACTTGTAATACACTGACCACTGTATAAATATTTATTGTTGACTCTTTGATAGTAAAGACAGAATATTAGAAACCTTTGGCTTCTTTCCCTTTTCTCCTATGTTGAGTATGTGATACATTCTTCCTAAGTAAAGGAAATCCCCACAGTTGAATTACTGACAGGTTTTTATCAGTTCTGGTTTTGTATGTAACTTAACCATGGTGTGATGAACAGTAAGGAAGAAAAGAAGTGTTTTCTTTTCAGAGGATTTCCTCTTTAAGTCACTCTTCTTCTCAAATGTTTTTAGCTCTGATCCTGGCTCTCATTAGAAATATTGATAATAACTTAGGTTATGCCTTATACAAAGTATGTGTGTAATACCAGTTGGTTGATATCTGTGGTTTTAAATTCTTTTTGCGTTGTGAGAAACAGTTAAGCTCTTATCACAAGATGAAGATCTTGTGATTCTGTTTTAATGTACTCAGAACTTCGTAGCGCAAAATGTGTATATCTCTAAAATACTTAGATAAAAAACTGCACAAGACAGTGTACACCAGGGCTGGACTGTGGTGGGCAGAGAGCGTGTTTAGTAAGACTTTTCTGCCTTTGGTCAGACCTTGGCCAATAGCCTTCGTAAGTGCCAGATGAGCCACTTATGAGCAGTTTTATACACATTCATACCCAGGTATTGTGCCTTTTCCCTTGATTGCTAGGAGACGTTTATGTTCCTTCTTCCAGGTTCTGGGCAGAATCCTGTTCGACAAGCCAGTGTAGGTGCCGGAATTCCTTACTCTGTTCCAGCATGGAGCTGCCAGATGATCTGTGGGTCAGGCCTTAAAGCCGTGTGCCTTGCAGCCCAGTCCATAAGGATTGGTGACTCAAGTATTGTGGTTGCAGGAGGCATGGAAAGTATGAGCAAGGTAAGCTCTGAAAAGGTGCTTCTCACTGACCTCGCGCTGAACACTCCGGTCGGTACAGCAGCAAACTGCTGGATATCAGAGGTAGACTCAAACTACAGCTAGAAAACCAAATAAGAGTAGATTCAATCTTGACCCTTACATGAAAGTTCTTCTCCAAATCGGAAATTCCATTTGAAGAAAATGCCTATTAATCAGTGCAATTGGGACTGGGGATATTATTATTATTAAATTGTTACTGAAGCATTACAGTATTTCCCCAATTAAACCCAAAATGTAGTGAGCATGGTGGTGGACCAGTATTTTGGGAGGCTAAGGATCGTGAGTCTGAGCCTAGTCTAGGAAACTTAGAGACGTAGTGGGACCTTGTCTCAAAGTAATAAAATATAAGGGTGTAGCTCAGTGTGAAGACCTTGGCTTAATGCCTGGCATCTCAAAAACATAATATTACTTGATTAATAACTTTGTTTTTAAATTTACTTTCATAAGGAAAAGACAAAATCTGATGTTGCCACTGTTCAGCTGGCTGTGGTGACATACATGTGAGGTTGAGACAGGAGGATTTTGCATTTGAGAACAGCCTGAGCTACAGCACAAGTTCAAGGCTAGCCTGGGCTATCCAGTGAGATCCTGTGTGAAGGGAAAAAAATAAAGCAAAGCACTCTCCACTCAGAAATCAATGCCAGTTTAAGCACCCTAATTCTCACTGTCAGCATTATTTGACCCATCAAAACAGTAACACAAAAGCTGGGCGTGGTGGCATATGCCTGTAATCACAGCACTCAGAAGACTGAGTCAGAAGGACCCTTCCAAGTTTGACACTAGCCTGGGCTACAAAGTGAGTTCAAGGCCAGCCTGAACTACATAGCGAGACCCTGTCTCAAAAAAACAAAACAGTAACACATCCTTAGCATTACTTAAGGCATCACATGAGCTCCTTCATTTGACAGATAATTAGTTGCCTCTCTGGAAGTGTCAATGGGATCCTTAAGGAAATACAGTGATAACTCAGTTGTTCCAAATTCATGTTCGAAGACAAGAAAAGTTTGAGCTAAACATATGTTTCTCATAAGAAATAACGAAAAAGCAAATAATTGGTTCTGAGGCCCCAAAATTACACTTATAAATTCATTTTTCCAGGACTTTAACACAAAGTTAACAGCTGTAGATTATAGAAGTACCCCCTGAACTATCAAAATACATAGTAATTATTTTGTTATAAATTTTGTACTGTTACTCTACCTTGACTTGGAAGCTTCCTGGCATACTGGAAGCAGGAGAGAAAGTTGAGGAAAAATGTTATTTTTTGGAAAGGGGAGTCTCTGTAATGACTGCTGGCAGTACACTTTCTAGGGTCTTTTCTCAACTTTTCTCACCAAAAATTCATCTGGCTGAAACTGGCACTTAGAGGTTCCTTTCAGGTGGGATTTTTGGTTGACTGTTGAGCAAAATTACAAACACCAAGCATATTTTTTCAAACTTTGCTGTTCAAGTAGTAGAAAGTTCGAGCTTGGAGCCATCTCACAATGAGGGTATCGCTGTAAGACAGAATGAACGAGGCTGAAGGGAACCATGGAAACGGGCAGGTAGAGTGGAGGATTCCAAGAGTAGGCAAGGTGGAGTTGTCCGTCAATCATAGAGGTGCTCTGCTCCTAGTGGGAAGGGCTGCAAGGAGTGCTGAATACTAGATGGTTCTGAGCGGTGTACCAAGGGCGAGATATGACATCTAAGCCTAAATCAGGCCAGGGATTTAGCTCAGTGGCTTAAGCACCTGCCTGGCAAGCGAGAGGTGGTGAGTTTGATCCCCGGTACCAAAAAAAAAAAAATCAACTAAGCCTAAATCCATTTTTGTTCCTTGTTTCCAGGCTCCTCACTTGGTTCACTTGAGAGAAGGAGTGAAGATTGGTGAGATGGCATTGCGTGACAGTATACTCTGTGATGGCCTTACAGATGCGTTTCACAGCTACCACATGGGTGTGACAGGTAAGGCAGACATAGCCGCAAATGCAACTGTAAAAAGTTGGAAAAGACCACGTAGTGTCAGTGAGTCTTGCTGTTGTAGGCCCTGCTGCTCGACCTCTCATTTGGGCAGGAAGCTGAGCTGAGGATGGTGGCCAGAGGGTCCTGGGAAGCACATGGTGTTCAGATACTTCATGGAGGTTTCCCAGGTTGCCTGTATCTCTTCAGGTCTCACACCAGAAAATCATCCCAGTCATGGATACTATCATTCAGAACAGGGCTGAGGTGGATGGATCTTGAACTCAGGTGAGGAGCCAGCCCATGCCTGTCTAAAACAAGCAGCTCACTGAACCGGCGTGGTGGCTCACATCTACATTCCCAGCACTCAGTAGGCTGAGGCAGGATTGTTGTGAGTCTGAGGCCAGCATGGGCTACATAGTGAGTCCAAGGTCAGCCTAAACTACATAGCAAGACTGTATCTCAAAAATAAAACAAAAACAAAAGCAAGGCAAGCAGCTTACTGTCTATCTGCAAGGGCCCTCACAGTGCCCACTTTCAGTGTTTCACAAGCCTGGCAGAAGTCAGATACCAGTACACAATGGTCAACTGCAAGGCAGGTTTTAACAATTTAAAAGTTAGTCCAGTTACGTACTTGTCTCTCAGCCACCTGAGAGGCTGATGCAGAAATATCACAAGTGTGAAGCCAGGATAGACAACTAAGCAAGACTGTCTGGAGAGAAGAAAAAGTGCAGGAGATGTAGGTCAGTGGGGGAGCATTTCCCTAGTATGCTTGCGGACCCGTGAAGGTTCCATTCCCAGTACCGACAAAACAGAACGAAGCTAATAGATTTCAGAAGGCAGCACTCCTTAGGGTCCCCCCTAAAACTCCATGTTGCTCAAGTTGCAATGGTAGCTACAGCAGCTGCTTCTAAAGCTAAAATTCCAGTAGAAAAGATGACTACTGTGGCAAATAGGCACCCAGAAGGTCCTTGCCCAGAAAGTCTCAGACCAGTCGGCAGCACCTCCTCTGACAGCTCAGAAGAATCAGAACTCCAGCCATGAAGTACTTGCTCTGAAGATATTTGGCAAGAAAGCCCAAGAGGCTGTTCTGAAAGTAAGAGAAGCAGTGATCTGTCTGGAGAGGAGGGAGATTTATACACGCACCCTTCCAGGCCACGCCCACCTCTTCCCACCCAGCATCACATCCAGCTACAAAACCATCAGTGGACTAACCCAGACTCATGGTCCAGCCACCTCCCAAGAGCTCCACCTGTGAGCACATGAGGCTTTGGGTGAAAATCTAGGTATCAGCTATAACACCAGGTTCTAATTATTTTTGAATCTCTATGTACATCCATAGTTCCTAATAACTAAAGTGAATAATTTTTTTTTTTTTTTGACTCTGGGTCTTGCTGTGTAATTTAGGCTGGATTTGATCTCACTAGATAGCTCAGGCTGGCCCCAAACTCATGAAGATCCCTTGCCTGAGGCCCCTGAGCTAGGATTACTGGTATGCACCACCATGCCTGGTGAATAAATAAATATTCTTTCTACTTTATGAACCTTTGACATTGGGAATGTGAAAGGTGGCAGTGTACTTTGGTACTTTTGTATCAAACCCTTCATTTTGCCAAATAAAGAAAAGTGGTTCTGTGGCACAGGCAGTTTCAGTTAAGCCAGTGTTTGAGACTTCACACAATTGTGTCATGTATCTTGAAAACTCCTGTGTTCTTTTAAGAACACATCATAAGAACTGATGTCTTTACTATATGAAAACGTAAGACATAAACAAAATGAACATTGATTTCAGAGGTAAAGAAAGAAACCCTGAGGAATCAATTTCCTTGCTCAAACCTATGCAGCAATAGCTTTCTTTCTTTTTTTTCTTTTTTCTTCCCTGTCACTCCTCCCCCGCAGCTCCAGCAAGGTGTTTGGTTGTGTGTGTGTGTGTGTGTGTGTGTGTGTGTGTGTGTGTGTGTGTGTTTATAGTTCAGGTAACCGAACCCTAGGCCTCTTTTTGCAAGGCAAGAATGGCTCTGGTTCCATGGGAAGTATAAGTTAGATGACAGATATAGTGGGGAGGCCAAGCATGGTGGCTCACACCTGTAAATCCGAGCACTCAGGAAGCTGAAGGAAGAGGATCTCTTAAGTTCAAGACTAAACTGGGTTACCTCCTAAGTTCAAGGCCAGCTTCAACTGCATAACAAGACCCTGAGACCTTGTCTCAGTTCCCCTCCCCACAAAAGAAGATCATGGGGAAAAGCGCAGGAGTGTAGGCCGGGGGACAAAATATGCAAATGCAGGGCAGGAGGCAAGGGCTTTGAGACGTGGCACACAGTAAAAGCTTAAAGGCATCTTAGGTGAAAAAACAGGCAGCAGAAGCTGATGAACGCAGGTATAGACAATGGAAGCTGCTGTGAGCGTCAGTGCCCTGGTGTCTAGGCCCCCCCAAATAAGGGCTAAATAAAGGTTAAGTAAATAAAAGTTAACTTAATAGTGTCCATAGAGCCCAAGGATATACCTCAGTGGCACTGTGCCTGTTTGGCAAGTGTAAGGTTGTGAGTTTACTTCCCGGTACCAAAAGAAGAAAAGAAAAGAAAATAGTTTCCAAAGCTAGGGATGAATAGTTTCCAAAGCTAGATAAGACATAGATAGCAATAGACTTAAGAGAAAAATTTGATACATGTGACTTTTTTCTCAACATTGAAACATAGGCTGCCCAATTTTATTCCTAACCATGCAGACCTAGAAACAGCTCATACGTCCGTCAACAGGAGATTGCATAATAGCGATATGTTCATACCATGAAATACTGCTTTAAAAAAATGCTGTTGTACTTGTAAATATTAATAACTGACAAATATACTGAGAAAAACAAGCAGAATTGCATTTACAATCTCTAGTGAAAGAAATCAAAACATTATTTTGCTTCAGATTAGGAGATGTGATAATTTTTTTTCCAAATCCGTTTTATTTCAAAGATAAAAAGGAAAAAAAAGAGAAATAGAAGAAAAAAACAAACTACAACACAGTTTCAAAACATGTTAATCTGGGGGTAACAATGCATATTGTCATCCCGAAATCATACACCCAGAGCACAAGACATCTGCATTCAATTGTCCGACAATACCAGCACAAATCTTGCTCTTACGTGAATGCAGAGAAATCAGTAGGATAACTACCTTATCTTCTATATACATATATATATGTTGTCAATAGTATACATATACATATAAATATACCTATGTGTAACTCTCAGCTGGCAAACATTTTCTCCCACATTGTAGGTTGTCTCTTCATTCTATTGGTGGTTTCTCTTGCTGTGCAAAAAATTTTCAGTAGGGTGAGATCCCAGTTGTTGATTCTTTGTGATAGTTCCTGTGCAACCTGGGTTTTGTTCATAATGCCCTTGCCTACAGTAACGTCTTCAACAGTTTTACCCACTCTGTCTTCCAGCAGATTTAGATTCTGTTGTAATATTAAGATCTTTGATCCATCCTGATTTTACCTTAGTACATGGTGAAAGATATGGGCCCAGTTTTAATCTTTGGCATGTGTAGAGCCAATTTTTCCAGCACCATTTATTATAAAGGCTATCTTTCTTCCAGTAAGTGTGTTTGGCACCTTTATCAAAGATAAAGTGACTTCATGTGTCTGCAGTTGTTTTGCCTCTTCTAATCTATTCACTGACCTTTGGATCTGTTTTTGGCCAGTACCATATTATTTCTTATCACAGTAGCTTTATCTTATAATTTCAAATCAGGGATTGTGATGCCCCCTGCCTTGCCTTTGTTGCTCAGGATTGCCTTTGCTATTCTAGGTCTCTTCTGGTTCCAGATGAATTTTAGGATTGTTTTCTGTGATTCTGTGAGATATGCTATTGGAAGTTTGACTAAGATGGCTTTGAATCTGTAAAACAGTTTTGGAAGTATGGCCATTGTCACTATACTGGTTCTTCCTACTCAACAGCATGACATCTTCCATTTTCTAATATCCTCTTCAATCACCTTTTTCAGAATACAATAGTTTTCAATGTAGAAGTCCTTTACATCCTTTGTTAGATTGATTTCTAGGTGTTTCATTTTTTGGATGCTATCATAAAAGGTATTGTTTCCCTGATTTCTGTCTCAGTGAGTTTGTTATTCATGTGTAGGAAGGCTATTGATTTTTGAGCGTTGACTTTGTCTTTTTCATTTTTATCGGTACCGGGGATCGAACTCAACGACTGCCTGCTTGCAAGGCAGATACTTATGCCGCTGAGCTAAATCCCCAGCCCCAAGTGTTGACTTTGTAACCAGTTAGGTTACTGAATTGGCTTATTAAATCTAATAACCTTTCAATTTAATTTATTTTTTTTTAAATTGGTACTGGGGATTGAACTCATGACTGTGCTTGCCAGACAGGTACTTATGCCACTGAGCTAAATCTCCGGTCCAAATCTAATAATCTTTTGGTGGAGTTTTGGAGGTAGACTATCCTGTCATCTGCAAATAATGATAGTTTAACTTCTTCCTTCCGTATCTTTATTCCTTTTATTTCTTTATCTTGTCTAACTGCTTTGACTAAAGTTTCCAGGACAATGTTGAGTAAGAGTGGAGACAGTGGACATCCATATCTTGTTCCTGATTTTGAAAGAAAGCTTTCAGTTTTTGTCCATTTAGTATGATGATGGCTGTTGGTTTGTCATAGATGGCTTTTATCAGATTGAGACAAAGACCATCTATTTTAATTTTTTGTAGAGTTTTTATCATGAATGGATGCTGGACTTTATCAAAAGCTTTTTTCCTACACTTAATTGAGATGATCATATGATTTTTTAACCTTGGCTCTGTCAACATGATGTATTAGGTTTATGGGTTTCTGTATGTTGAACCATCCCTGCATCCCTGGGATGAATCCCACTTGGTCATTGTGTACAATCTTCTTATGATTTGCTGCAATCTGTTTGCCAGTGTCTTTTTGAGGATTTTTTGCATCAATGTTCATTAGGGAAATTGGCCTATAATTCTCTTTCTTAGGTGAAT